TTATTATTGTTTTTCCTCTTCTTCTTCTTCGTATGCATTTAATTGCCGGAAATATACAAGCAGAACAAGAACACTGTGATGATGAAACGCACTCTGTAGTGCTGTTTGTCCATTGTCGGCTACTGCAGAAACATGGTAACACAGTATGTCAACCTCCATGGGAGGGGGGACTCGCAGTTATGTAGATAGAAATGGCTCATTCTAAGGTAATTAAAACATAATGTCTTTATAGACCACTGAAAATCTATGCATTTAATATTTTCATTTTCTACCCTATTTATTTCTCCAATGGCATTTAATAGGATTTATTTATTTATTGAGCATTTATTTATTTATGTATTTATTTTTGATTGTGTCAGACTCCTTCCTCCATGTGCTTTGTCCTGCTGGAGGACTAAAATAGCATCCACTTTCCATTTTATGCCGTCTGTAAAAGGGTCTTGCTTGTAAACACAAAGACAAAGTCTATAATCTTAGTCGTCTTTTTGGGTAAAGCGAATAAACGGTGGAGGACTCTAACCATTTATTGTAAATTGTGTTGTTACTTTTAAAAATTCCATAATCTCAAGTACATTTCTAACAAGACAACCAGTGTGTCCTTTCCCTTTTCTTTATTTCACAATGACTGTTTACAATACCCGGACCAGGACACAGAAACACTATGTCTACCTTGAGTGGCTACAGTCAGCACTACAACCATCTAACATGTTTCCGGGTCATGGCTCTGTGGACGACATGTCTCTTCATCTACCAATATCATCATTTCTTATAAATGTGTTATTAGTTTTTAGTCAGAGGTGATCCTTCAGACTGTTGATTCAGTCTGACCTACAATTCCCACACCTGTGGCACTAGAAAGTGTCATATGCTGGTCAGATTGTAAATTTGTGAGTTGTGATATTGGATATTGGGCTATATAATAAAACAAAATACTTGACACTGTATGTTCTTTTCTCTCCCATTATGTTATGTATTAGAAATCTCTCTTCTGTCTGAAGTTTGAACCTGAGATGATGTAAAATGAATTTGATGTCATTATTTGAAAAGAAATCACCTGCCATTTTAATAATAATAATATATATACATTTTATTTGTAATGCACTTTACATTTACAGACAAACCTCAAAGTGCTACAGGTAAGATTATAAAAGCAAGGCAAAAATATCAGTGTAAAATATAGATAAATAGTGCAACAACATTATTGTGCAAGTTATTGGGTTAAGTTCTGCTAAAAATAAATTTATTTTAAATTTTAAATTTTTTAGCTTTTTTAAAAGTCTCAATAGTCTGTGGTGCCCTCAGATGGTCAGTGAGGGCATTCCAAGTCCGAGGAGCGGCAGAGCAGAAGGCACGATCACCCATGGTGCTGAGCTTAGTTCTAGGGACTAGGAGGCAGTTTGAGTTTTTTGAGCGGAGGGATCGTGTTGTAGTGAGAGGGGTGAGTGGTTCTTTCAGGTAGGGGAGGGCATTTCCATAGATGCCCTGGTGGGTGAGAAGTGAGACCTTGTATTCAATAGCAGAAACGGGAAGCCAGTGAAGTGAATGGAGAATGGGTGTGATGTGGTCGTACTTTTGCACTCTCATCAGGATCCTTGTAGCACTGTTCTGAACATACTGCAGTTTCTGCAGGGATCCCGATGAGAAGTGCGTTACAGTAATCCAGTCTGGAGGAGACCAAAGGCGTGGACCAGTTTTTCAGCATCAGCTAAGGTGAGTGTAGAACAGAGTTTTGCAATATTTCTGAGATGATAGAAGGAGATCTTGCAGAGATTTTTGATATGGGCTTCAAAGGTGAGTTGTGGATCAAATCTTACACCAAGGTTGGTGACTGTTGTGGAGAGGGGAATGTCTCGACCAGAGCTAGTTATACCGGTTATGGAGGATGACTGGACTTGATGTGAGGTGCCAACAAGAACTGCCTCAGTTTTGGAGCTGTTCAACTGGAGGAAGCTGTGTTTCATCCACACCTTTATCTCCTCCAGACAGGCGGTGAGTGTTTAAGACGATGATGATGTTGGTGAAGCTGCAGTCAGATTTCACATACAGTTGTGTGTCATCAGCAAAACAGTGAAATGAGACTCCATGGCGACTGATGACGTGGCCGAGTAGGAGGATGTAAATGATGAAGAGGATAGGGCCAAGAACTGACCCCTGGGGGACTCCGCAGGTGACTGTGCCGGTTGAGAAGTATGCCGTGATCCACAGTGTCAAAAGCAGCAGACAGATCGAGGATTATGAGGAGGGAAGGTGAGCCAGCATCAGCTGCCATTCGTAGGTCTTTTGTGACTCTAACCAGGGCTGTTTCTGTGCTGTAAGCAGAAACAGCCCTGGTTGGTGGTCCTGGAGATTGGAAATGGGCCTGTAATTTGTAAGTGCATCTGGCTCAAGGGTTGGTCTATTCAGCAGTGGTCTGATTATGGCAGTTTTAAGGGCAGATGGAACATTACCAGACTGGAGGAAGTGGTTTATTACAGTGGTAATCAGAGGGCTTAGGGCAGGGGTGTATGTACTTGAAAAGAGCTGGTTTCTGATTGGCAGGTAGGTGTCCATTTAAATCATATGTATCTTTCTCTCAGAGAATTTCTTCATCCATCTTTTTTGCATTCAACAACAACATATCCCATGATTTTCAGTCATCAGTACACTTTAGAGCCTCATGGGAGCTGTAGTTGTTGAATGGCAACAGAATCATCATTAACCATCCCTTTATTTTGGGACTTTTGGTTTGAGATGTCCTAGACAAAAGACAGCTGTTTTCTGCATTATTGCCCTACATATTAATTCGCTGGGATGCCAATCTTCAAGTTGCAGATAAACCTGATGGGTGGTGAGATGTTTAATGGGAGAGGAAAGAATCAAAAATACATATTAGAATGGAATCTGTACTTTTTTGTAGAAATGTACCTCAGTGAGCCTTAAACTGTTAAATGAAACTATGCGAGGTGTTTAGAGGGACAATCTTGCTCACTGTCACACAGTCATGGCTTACTGGGACATGTGAATAAATCAGAGTCGTCGTTAATGTTATTAGTAGCACACACAACTAGAATTCAAGTGGGAGCTTACATGGCCAGAAAGCCAAAACAAAGACTTGCCTGCTGTCTGATATTATAGCAGCTAAGAGGTGGTCTCATCTTTTCAAACTGTTGTAGGCCTAATCATGACAGATAAGGACAGATATTATAAATAAAAGGCTGAATGACACTTTGGTAACCAAGATAATTCCTGGCAGTTGCATAATTTAATGTCATTTAGAACAAACAATTTAATGAGCCTTCTAAAGTACTAACAAAGACATGACTTATAGCTTATGTTGTTTATTTTAAAATAATGTGCACTGCCACAATAATTAAAAAACACTAGTTTGAATGCACCATGTGTGAGCTCAATTAATAAGGATTGAACATATTTTTGGAGTTCTTATTCTGCCCATAAAAACTAGTGTAAATAAACCAAAAGAAAAAATAGTTTTTACAATTCTCCAGGTACAGTGTGTTACATTACACACCTCCACAAATTACAACTGTATAAATTAAGTAAGTCAACATCAATTAATTACACTTTTTTTTAGAAAGATAAAAATAAAAATTAGACTATTAAAAAAAAAATTACACATAAAAGGATCCCTATTAATATATGGTAATATCCCAATACTATTATTACCATGAAACATTTAACCATGCTGTAGTGTTCACAATGACAATTAAGTGGGGATGAATAAAAATGTTTTTTTATATACCCTTTTTTTATTGGACTTTTAACACAGACAGTCACACAGACATTAATAGGATTTTGGCAGAGAATGTCAACTTATACTATACAGTCTCTTGTTAGCTGCTGTATTTATATGCCTATTTGGAAGTGACACTGGGTCCATTTCCAATTTGGTCCTTTTCCATTTCTTGCCTCAGCACCTCCCACCAGTATCTCTGCATGATCATAAGCAATGAGTCAATGTTCCCACCTCCACTTTACATTTGAGACACAGGGGAAGGGTTAAAGGAGTGACTGTGATTAGGAGATTTATGGGTTCTACGAAAAATTTTAAACTGTATTGCCTTCATTCGGGTGCAAATTGATGTCTTTTTAGCATGATTCCAGATCTTTTTCCATGTCCCATCATCAATAGTATTTGACAATTCCTTTTCCTATACCTTAACCTTCAACATTTAGCAGTGATATTACTTACCAAACAAAACTATGATTAGCAAAGTTACAACAGTTCAATTACCAATTAGGCCCCTGGTGTTCTGGGGCTTTGTGGAAGTTGCCCCACTAATCTAGCCTCAAATTTTCTCATACAGAATCTTCCTATAACTTTCACTTTCCCTATCATGTACATTTTAAGTAACATAAATTTCACTACATTGTTCTAGACAGTCTACATTTGCAGCCACATTTGCTAGAATGTGGTTAAAACTGTTGTGTTATTCTGTTGTGCAGTTACTCCTCAGCCACCTTCCCAGTGATCCTGTAGGTCTCTGTCGGTCCCTGCTCTCCACATGTCACCCGGCTCTCTTGGTTTTCTGGCATCTCCAGGATATCTGTCAATAGTGAATATAATCTTAGACAAGCAGCTGCTGCTATGGAACATGTCTGATATGTTTACCAATCAAATGATTCTTTTCATTTGTTTTTATTTTTTTCATTTCAATACTGGATTCTAACTATGAACTCGAAATGTTACAGTGTTACAGACCTGTTTGTTGACTGTCTCCTGACTTCAGTCTGTAGTGCTTGTGGGAGGGGGCATAGAGGAAGATAATGGTAAAAACATAAAGGTTCCACATGCCATAGATTCCTGTGAGAAAAGCACTGTGGACTTGGAGAGTGTAGTCTCCCCAGTGCCAGTGACCATCACTGACCTGGTGAAAAATAAGAAGTTAGAATCATTTTTAAGAGCCAAAATGTGTCACAACTGTAATTAACAATGTAACTGTCATAAAACCAGTAGTTAAGACTTCTGTGTTGATCATTAGAAGGGTGAAACTTACTTGATTTAAGATGAAGAAGATGACAGTCATGGCTGCGCAGGCTAGAGTTACCAGCATCAAAAACTGGAACCTGAGGATTATACCCTGTCAAAACCAGCAAGAGTGGGAACACAGCCAGAATATTGTTTCATCCATTGTATAAAAGTAGTTTTTTCTGCCAGTGTTTTAGTTTTTATTTATGATTCAGATACTAAAATACAAAAATCAAACCTTATACCGCAGTCTCCTAGCTTCTGGCATTGCAGGAAGTTGCTGTATTTTCCCACCAATGTTCCTAAAGACACAATGCACCATGCCACACAGGGAGAGGAAATACAGACAAACAGAAATCCCTGCCACAATAATGAAGGTAATCTGTCATCACAGTCAAGGAAAAGCCCTGGATGACACAGAGAGAGCTACATTTAATGTTCTTAGAGGGCAAAATCTTTTTTAAATTGTAGTATAAAAATCTGAAGGATACTGCCACTTTTGACCCAATTTCTGATGCCCACACACTGTAGAAAGGGTTGGTCAAATGAACCCCCCTATACAAGACATGAAGCACATTCATATTTAAAGAAAGATATAACCATAACACAATAGACCCCATCAAAAGAAACCGTGTCCATTACCTTTCACTCAGGTCAAATATGAGGAGAACAGATGAGCCGAACACTATCAGCCCAACCTGCCACCAGTACGCTGACAGCCGATTCCTCTGACTTTGTTCCTAAAGGAATTGTTGAAATAAACTGCATAACTTTCAGGAAAGTGTGGAGAAATGAACGCTTAAGAAACAAGTACAAGGCGCTAACCATGAGGTGTTCACCACAGAATATGATCCAGAAACAGAAGAGCGTGGAGTAGAAGACGCCCTGTTGAATATCTTCAAACAGCAGCATCCACGTCCACTCAAAACCCAGGGAGAGCCACTCGACCGGCATGTTCAGGAATGTCATAGAGGTACCCAGAACAAAAATCACCCTGTACAACACAGGTACATAGCATAACTTACACGCACTCTTAAAATACAAGTACCTTTCTGCTCCGAGCAGAGTATTGACCTGGTTCTACCAGGCCAATCGTGCACTTAAGATCAAGCATTTTTCATTTCCCCTGCTCTCCACATGCCAGCCTGAAGCTCCGTACACGACAGAAGGTTTACCTGTGGCTTTAAGCTCGCTCTTAATCACTAAAGAGCCTGGACTGCACTCAGAGTTTCACCTTCAACGTGAGCAATAGAGCCATGTTGTATAACCTCACTCTACCTTTTTTTTTATTATATCTTCAGACTGCAATAAAAAAAGGCCTTACAGATGCACAGATGAAGGGATAGAATAGAGGCCTGAAGTGCTTAATATTAAAAAGATAAAATAAATAGTGAAATAATTTTAGAAATGACTAAAAGAACTTATTATTCTGACTTTTTTTGTCAGGTTTCAATGGATTCATATTTATTTTATTAAGGAAAATATATTTCAAAATGAATTTAATTTCCCGGTGACATTTGGATTCCATTTCATTATTTTACTTTTCATAATGTCACTTCTAGCAATGTTAGTTTTTAGTTGTCACTTTCTTCATCCACTCATCTTTCAGCCAATCGCATGCCCCCAGTTGACCAGCAGACTAACTGCCAGCTAGCAAACTAACAGCAAACATTCTTTACAAAATCCAATTGACATTAGGAATTAGTGTGATATGAAGTAAAAGTGTCAGTTGAACAATGCTAATATGGAAAAAAATGTTGTCAAAATTGTATTATATATTTATCATAATGTGTAACTTATTTAATATTAAACACTTTAGGCTTCCATATGGAACTTTAGCAGTGGCTGTGCATTACTAGTGCTCCTGAGGAAAAGCAGTTGATAAATACATTCAGAGATTCTTCCTTTTTGGCTCATACTTTTCCAACAGGACTGGAGGTCTTGCCATGAGGCTGATCCTGCGCCAGTACCAAACTGTTGCCCCAAATATCCAGGGACTGAAGACCGTCTTCATGCTTATCCACACTTTAGTGAAGCCTCCATTCTGGTGGATGCCCTTAGAGAAGAGGGAAATTAAATGTCTGAACAGGCTTTGTAATTTAATTCAGTAAAAACATACTGTGTAATGCAAGTTAAATTATTACTACTATTTGGATGTCCTTTATTTCTCCAATGCCAACGTTCACCGTGTTATTCACTGGCAAGCGCAGGTTAATCAAAAAATATTTGTGAGCCACACTTCCCAGTTCCATGAATGGTATGGGTTCACAGTGATAAAAGCGGCCTTCATTTTCATACATCTGCAGAAGCACGGAAAGTTAGAGGTTACTCAGCAGAGACAAATGTGATCATTTTTTTTGCATGTATTTAAAGTAGTTATGCAGATTTACCTTAGGGAATGCAAATATGCACCTAAGTGGCCTTTGCTCTACTGAGTGACACTTTGCGGTCCACTCAGATATCAAATCATCCCTGTATGCCAGGCCAGCATCAATAGTGATGGTAACGTCATCTTCTACACACAGAGGGGCATGATTTGGTTTATTACATATTCACCATGAGAACTACAGTAGCTTCAATCTATTTCGAACTTCCGACAAAGACGGCTCTTACCAATTTGATTGTTCATTTTGAACGCAATGTCGAACTGTAAAACTGCCAGCATATACTGAAACCAGGGGCTCATCTCTGTGTTGGGAAGAGGTATGTGCACCGCAAAAACAATGTTGTTGGCATCCAGTTTTTTTGCCAGAGGCTCATCAAAACTGTGGATCTGCTGGCATCGATTTGATCCCCACGGCATGAACCAGCCGCCAGCCCTGTGGTAATTAATGCATTTGGTGGCCAAGTAGCGAATGGCACTGGTGGGACTAGGAGCTATGGCAAAAGGGAACAATCTGTCAGAGACATAGTTTGAATTTTGAAGTACAGAAAAAAAGATTTTTGGTGTGCTTTTAAAAACACACAAACCACATGTAGGTTACACTTTCTAGAAACACTCATTACAACAATTAAATAAAAACAGATTACTCACCGATTAATGCTCCAACCATGATGCAAAGAACTTGAAAGACAAAAAAAATGAATCCCAAGAAAACCAATTTCTTAGTGCTCATGTTCTCTATGATTGCTCCAGCCATTCTTAAAAGATCATTTGGAAATGTGGCACTCAAGACTACAAGCCTGTGGTCCCAATAGTCTAAGTGCTCCACTGCTACCTGCCCGCACACATCTGACTCTCCCAGGAGTCAGAAAGCATCGTCAAACAGAGTTAGAGCAGAGGGGGGTGGGGGTGTAACCATCATGTCTTCACATTCAGAACAATAAAACAGAAATTTAATTTTGTAGGTTTAAAAAAAAAATTATCTAAAACAAAAGTGTATAAAACATGATTCCTTTATTGCTTAAAGAATACAACTTGTAGCATAGGCGAGTGAATGTGTCACAACTAGGCTACACTGAGGATTGACCAGTCACAACGCAAATGTTTGATACTGCACCCGAGGAAAAGGGAAATAACAAATTCAGCCAGGATATCAAAGCATCTTACAAAGTCAAAGGTTAATAATCCTTAACATTGTTTGCACTGACTGGGAGTCAGCGACGAGAATCACAGTAGCACCTACACCTTTAAAAAACACTTACTGTGGGCTGTTAGTATGTCCACTATCTTTGGTTCTATGAGACAAAAATATTCAGTTTCTGAAAGGTGTGGCTAATTATCAATACTGTGGGTGGTTCAACATTGAAAGAAAATGCAACATAAAGTATCTGAATGAGCTAAAATGAAACAAAATGTCAAATTCACTACTTTAAAAAAAAAAATCCTATATTCACAACCCCTCAAATGATTCTCTGTTGAACAAATATACCGAGGGGGGAACCTCTGTAAAAATGACCGTTAAACCACAAGAAAGGAGGAATCAACTGCTCTGAAAATATTCTAGAGCAGTTCTCCTAAACCAACAAAAGTGATCTAGTACAACAAACAAGAAAGTAAGCCAACTGGTGCAGTACCTGACAATCACCAAATTTCACTGACATTTCCCAGGCAATGTTTGCCTATCAGTGAGTCCACAACACATCCAAAAAAATCTACGAATTACTCACAACATAATGTCAAGACATAATTAAACAGAAGCAACTGGAAAACAAAAGGGGGAAGAAGAGATTAATAAAAACTTCATTAACAGCCTCTCAATCCAAATAATTTTCAGGTACTGGTATCTGAATGTGTGGCCATCTTGAAATCCCCCTTTTTCTCTTCACTGTCCATAACAATGTGCAGTATCCATTTTACACTGATGTGTATCAGCGGTCAAACGCGTCTCATGTCTCTGCCAATGACAGTACTGGGAGATCTGTGTGCCAACACTGACCCAGGAGGGGATTCTGACAAGTGGAACCGCGTCCTGGGATCACATGTCATCCTCTTCGTCTTCATCCTGAGAGGAACCAGCCTGCTGGGCGGCGCTGGCAGATGCTGCTTCCATCTGTGCCTGTTGGGCGGCCTGCTGCATCTGTAACCACTCCTGCTGAGCGAGCTCTGCCTGCTGCTGCCGTGCCTGCAGTAACCGAGAGGATCACGATGGTGATATTGGTCAGATACCAATTCTAATAGTTTCAACTCATAAATATATTATATGTATTAGGCATAACACAAATGAGCACAATATGTTTTTGCGATACATTACTGAGGCTGAATTATATATTAGATGTTGCAAGGATATCGATTTATCAGTTAGCATTGCAGTGTTGCAAGTTTACGAGATGGGTGTGTCATTCATTATTAGACATCGTGCATTTATGATATGCACAAAATTGATATGTTTATATTCTCCCATTAACTTAGAGAGCAACCGCAGAGCAAGGAGATGTTTTGCATTGGAAATGTCTTCGCTAGATCACAACATGCAAAAGTGCGCGGCATTTCTTGCCGCAGGAAATACAAAACAAGCAAGACTAAGCCAGTTTGTTATTTCCATGTCGGCCTGGTATGTAGAGACATTTCTGAAGAGGTTGACCTCACACAACCCTGTCATACCTCCCCGCAGAGCCACTGCACATGTTCAATTGTGACCCTGAAACGGGGACGGGTCCTTACTAAAGAGCAGATGCTTTTTTTTTGCCCGTTTATAGTTGTTTTACATTTAGAATCACAGCAGGATTCAAAGTTCAAGAACTTATTTGTCACATAGGAGGGTGTGCTAAAAGGTTAGTGTGCTATAATAACAATAATACTCATTTCAATAGAGTCATCTTAGTAACTTGCTGCTCCATGAAGTGTATCGCACGTTGTTTTATCTAATTCTGGTGGTGGTGGGGAGGGGACTAATACAATGAACTTGAGGTTTTCTTCTTCTTCTTCAGTTACACATACCAAGATTGCCTTTGTTGAAATCACAATGTTATTGTGGAAACTGAAATCATATTGCATTAAACCATACAGTGAGTCTACACTGGATGCACAGTAAAATGGGTCTCTTCATTCACATCGGTACATGAAGAACTGATAATTGTAGATTAGTTAGTAACTTGTATTTTTAGATCATACCTTGGCAAACAATTCCTGTTGCTGTCTGAGGAGCTCTTCCTCCGGGATACCCAGGTTCTCCAGTCGAGAGCTGGCTTTCCTCCTCTTCATTGCCACCGTTTTACACTCCTGCAGGACGTCTCTCACCTCCGTGATGTATGATGCGAAACCAAGGCTCTCAAGAGCTGTGTGTGAAAACGAGAGGTGAAAGCGAAATAATTACTCTCTGTGGTTTAAAATGCATGGCGTATTACTCAAGACACTAACGTTAGCTAACCTGGACCGGGACTCACCATTGATGACATGCTCAGGAGATATGGTCTTCTTGTCGGACTTGTTGCATATTTCATTGGCTTCTGATGATATGAGGTGTATAAACTCTGTGCAGCAGTTGACCACAAGCTCCCTGGCGTCGTTTGCCACTCGCACGTTAGGAAGAGTTTCTTTAATCATCTTGTTGATCGCTGCTCTGGGGATGGTGAGGTCGTCGTCGTTTCCAGAGGAAGAAGCCATCGTGGCAGGCAAATGACCACAAACCAAAGAAACGAAAGCTCCGGTTCTTGACTCGAGTGGTGAAAAACGTTAGCAGACGATGATAGGCTTTCTTCAGGGAGTTAACGTACAGCTCTACTGCCCGGGTCAAGACAACGTAAACACCAATTTAAATGTCATCAAAAACGTTGACGTCTCCTTAAAGTTAGCCCGCTGTTAGCTTGCTAGCTAAGCTAATAGCGAATGTTACGTGTTAAAACAAACGAGGTGCAGTTTCTGCAGACCGCCGTTGGTACACGGAATGTGACAGAAAACCAAACACCAAAGCACAAATTGGAACAAAAACGTTAATACTGAAAATATGCTCAGCTACTAGCTATGAAGCTAGCTAGTAGCTGTGGTCCCTGTCGCAAGCAAGCCACAACCCCAGAAGACAGGTGAAAGAGGAGTCTGAGAGCATGGCTAAAGCTAACGGTAGGCTAACAATGAACTGCCCCTGCCATATGTAACTATATAGTTGTCCGGGTAGAGACAACACTTAAGGTTACTCTCCCTAACATCGACCAAATGGACTAAACATGTCAACCATTCGTAAAGCTACCAGCAGTTCATTTACAATTATATTATGTGCAACATTAGCTTTAATTTCTCCGGATACAACGTCAAACAAAGAGCCGGATACGGTGTCGGCAGTCTCTCAGCCGCTGCTTACCGCCATCTACTGTTCACTTACAGAATTAAAGATTTCTATTCTCTTGTGTTCTCTGCCTACATCCTAACTAAACAAGATATTTTGAGGTCAGAGCAAACAGCTGAATCCCAGATTAGGGCATGTGTAAAAAGCCTGACATAATCCAGTATCCCAAGCACAACATAAATCACTAACACAAGTGGTTCACAAGGTATCGGTATCTTTAATGTTTGCTTAAAAGAATGTCTTAAAAATACACATGGCCCCTCAATAAGGTATCTATAACTATCTGAACTACCTGAATGCTTCATCTGATGCCTCGATGACCTTGTCGCTGCCCTTCACGGTTTAGCTTACTACTTACATATTGTGTAATGTAGGGCTTGGGGGGCTTAACAAGTTAAGAGAGTTGTGGTAGTCGGTTTAATGGGTGGTTTAAAATCTGCAGCAGGAGCTCACAGACACATGTAAAATGAGATTGTAATTATTCATGGCTTTCATAATTTTATTTGTTCACAACAATTGTTGTTTCACATAGATGTCTTACAGATAAAATTAAAATTGTAATAAAATAAATCACAGGAAGCCTGTACATGGATGAATGGATCTCCCCATAAATAGTAGGCTCTAATAATAATATTGATGATGATGATGATGAGACATGGACTCTACTAGTTGCTCTTGTGCTTTTCCAAGGTAAAGCTCTTTCGACTTCTCCAGTGCAGAAGTTTGAGGAAGTTCAAATGAACTAAACAAATTGTACAGCTACCAGCAGTTCATTTACGATAATATTATGTGCAACATTAGATTAAATTTGTCTGGATGCAACGTCAAACGAAGAGCCAGATACAGTGTCAGCAAGAGGTGTCTCTTTTTCGATGTTTGTCCAAGACTCAACTTCCAGGGAAATCAATAACTTTCTTACTAATTCTGTTTGGAAAAGCAGACACCATCACCTGAAAAAAGACATACTATCTCAGTCCAGAAGGTAAGGTGGTTTTGAATTATTAAACTTCATACATTTAAAGTGAAATGGATTAACGAATGTCTTAAAACCCCAAATTCGATCTTTAAAAAACTAGGGGGGCATTAGTTTCTACTCACTTCTAATTTTAATATTACCAAATTGCCTGTCAAATTATCCAAATTTTACCAACAGTTCCTTCTTGCCTGAAAATTATGTTACACATGTAACCTTTCCCCACACAAATCTGTCATATGGAATAATGGAGATATCACTGTTGGGGGAAAAAAATCGATCTTTAAGCCACATTGGATTGATAAAGGCATTATTTATGTGAGCGATCTCTTTGATGTAAATGGTGGATTGTTTAGTTATGAAAGATTCCTTTATGTCAGGTCTTTATAACAAACAGAGAATTTAATCTTGCAATGAAAGCTATTCCCAATGGTCTATCACATTTAATGAAATGTCATTTACAATATGAGCAAGCACTGAGGTTAAAACCCCCTTTGATGATAAATGGTATTGATAGTATGAATGCTAAATGCAACAATAAGCACATATGTAATACACTCAGTAAAAGAAGCAAAATTACTCCTAAAGCTAAATTCATTTGGGACAACATTCTCTCAGGTGTCAATTGGAGGAAGGCATGGTTCCTCCCATACAAATTTTCTATCAACAATAAGATTAAAGAAGTGCCCATTAAAATTTTATAGAATATATAGCCAACAAATTTACATTACTCCAAATTTTTAGATATTGAAAACAAATCTGTTTTTTTCAATGATGAACCAGAATCATTACAGCATATAGTTTTCCACTGTGTACATTCACTTAATTTTTGAACTCGTTAAGACTATATTACGGGTGAAACTAAAAACAATGTTAAAATCGACAGTTTAAAGTTCATTGCGTATTTCGAACATGATAAATGTGATTTCAAAGATATTGAAAACTTATTGGTCTTACATGGGAAATTCTATGTGTGAAAACACAGACTCTCAGCAACTTCACTGGATTTCTTAAACTTAATGACTCTGAAATGCAGTCTTTAAAGTAACCCTTTTTGTTTGATTTTCCCTTTTTCTTTGATGTTGTATTATCTCATATACTGTTCCTCCACAGTTTCATGATGAATAATTCTTCTGGTCGTAAGTCTCTCAACCATTGTTTACCACCATCAACCGTTCACTTACAGAATTAAAGATTTCTATTCTCTTGTGTTCTCTGCCTACATCTTAACTAAACAAGATATTTTGAGGTCAGAGCAAACAGCTGAATCCCAGATTAGGGCATGTGTAAAAAGCCTGACATAATCCAGTATCCCAAGCACAACATAAATCACTAACACAAGTGGTTCACAAGGTATCGGTATCTTTAATGTTTGCTTAAAAGAATGTCTTAAAAATACACATGGCCCCTCAATAAGGTATCTATAACTATCTGAACTACCTGAATGCTTCATCTGATGCCTCGATGACCTTGTCGCTGCCCTTCACAGTTTAGCTTACTACTTACATATTGTGTAATGTAGGGCTTGGGGGGCTTAACAAGTTAAGAGAGTTGTGGTAGTCGGTTTAATGGGTGGTTTAAAATCTGCAGCAGGAGCTCACAGACACATGTAAAATGAGATTGTAATTATTCATGGCTTTCATAATTTTATTTGTTCACAACAATTGTTGTTTCACATAGATGTCTTACAGATAAAATTAAAATTGTAATAAAATAAACAAAAATCACAGGAAGCCTGTACATGGATTAAAATAAACATTAGGCTATAATAATAATAATGACGATGATGATGAGATATGGATTTTATTAGTTGCTCTTGTCCTTTTCCAAGGTAAAGCTCTTTCGACTTCTCCAGCGCAGAAGTTTGAGGAAGTTTAGACTGGCGCTGAAGACCTTGTCGTGTTCAAATACCACTTTGTAGAATGTGTCAATTGGGAGGTCACCGTTGGGGTCTGCATATTTCAGTGTGGTCACAGGGGTGTAAACCGTGTTTGTCTGATGACGGAAAGGGGGATCGTCCATGGTGATGACCTTGAAAGTATGCTAGGATGAAAAAACAAACAAACATAAACAACAGGTACAATCGTGTGTCTCCGTTGCAGTGTTTTATGAGAAAGCAACACATCATGATGTGATGAATGTTTGCGGACGAACAATAGTATACCTCTGCTATATCCTCAGCAGTCTGCCCGAGGGTTTCAAAGATTTGTTTGTAGTTCTTCAAGTAGATGTTTGAGAACATGTCAGCAGTCACCTTGTCAGCTTTGCTGAGATCAGTCTTTAAGCCCTCATCATAGACTTTACGCTCAAACTCTGTTATCACTGGACCTGGTTCTATCAGGCTGATACTGAGAAGAGAAGAACAGAAACAAACATAATCAAATCCCTCCAAATAGGAAACTGAAGAGCTAAGTAAAAAATAAACGAGTGCTACAGAGCTAATGTTGCTTATATTTTACTGAGATGGAATCAAGTGCGTTCCCCTGCTCCTCTGCTGCTATTTGAAACAACCCTACAGAGCTATTCCCTTTAATACTTGGTTTAATACTTGACTGAACGATGTTGTGTTAAGACTTGCCCCAGGCCAGAGTATGCTGTGGTTGTTGTTACCCTAACAACTTTCCTCTCAATGGTAAGACAATGGTGGGTCTGTTTGTGCAATATGAGTGTGCAGATGTTGTAGACATTGACAAGTGCTGGTTTGCAGGCATTTTCATGTTAGCTCTGAGGGGGAATGTTGTTTCCCTTACTAATTCCAGCATTGTGAGCCGAATTTGAATCTCACTGAGAAACTAGTACAAAATGAAAGGACCAAAATGTACAGGAGCCAGGCATAAATTAATCTGTATCTTACTTGAGATTAAACCTCATGGCTTGTATTGCTAAGCTTTCACAAAAGCCTTCCACTGCAAACTTGGATGCTGCATAGACGTCATTGAATAAAATTCCTGAAAAACACAGTGAGGCCCTGTTAAGACGGTCACCATAAACAAATAATCTCATGATGAACAGATGTAACTGTGCTCACCCTGAATGCCCATGACGCTGCTAATGACCACAATATGGCCTTTTTTCCTCCTCTTCATGGCAGGTAGGATTTCTTTCAGCAACCGCACAAACCCAAAGAAGTTGGTGTCCATGACAGTCCTCATCTCATCGATTGACTGACACTCAATAGGTCCAATCAGACCCAGCCCTGCATTACTTACTGTGAGAATTAAAGCATGGCAACAAACTTAATTAAGGCATGTGCAGTACAATTGTTATGTATTGGAAAAGTATGTGTAGTAGCAGAACCAACACTCATGAATAGCTAGAGGAATTTGCAGAAATTTTTTTCTGAATGCACTGAACAAAATGGTACGGGCTTACTGAGAATGTCCACCCTGCGCTCGGGCAGGCTGTCCACACAGGCTTTAATGGAGTCCTCGTCACATACGTCCAACTGTTTGATCTCCAAAGTCCTGCCCAGAGTCCGACCTGCTGCCTCCACCAGCGCCTCACCCTTACTTAGGTTTCTCATGGTGGCATAGACTACAACAAACAAAATGAATTTAAAGCGGTGATTTTGTTTACTACTTGGATGCAGAGGTGCCGGTAAAATTTAAGTCTACAGAGACTTCAGACACCTTCTCTAAATTTGAACATTTGAAATTCATAAAGAGCCAGTGCACCTATTCACATGTTAACATATTTTCTACCATGCCTGTAGTGGTATTTGGCATTGTAGATAGTTTGATTTTATTGTCTTAGATTTAGTCTCTAAAAGTCTGCGGCCACACCAATACAACTGGTGTAATAGAATTTTGCTTATGATGAAATGATGATGAAAGCATTTATAAATGACAGCTGCTGAACTCAAACTTGAGTCCAGATACTGTGTCGCAGTTGTTCAGGATAATCTGCAGAAATTGGGACTATTTCTTCCATAGAAAGTAGTTCCAATGAAAACAGTGAGGTTATGGAAATGTAGACAAAGCTTTCTAAAATGCAGCAAATTTACCCATGAACCTTTGTCTTCTCATCTTTTGCGATGCGGGCAGCCAAGGCGAGGCCAATCCCAGAAGAGCAGCCTGTGATGAGTACCACCTTCTGGTTCATTGTGTCTGGTTAGTGTTTGTCTTGCAGCTCCAGCAGCAGAGAATGAAGGAGAACAATAAAGGGGAGGGAACAGGCTACGCGGAGGCCCTTTTAAAGCCAACTCCTTAATCCACAGGTCTGCAACTCAGCAGAAGCCTTGTGCACATGAGCAGAAGATTACCATCAAGCACGGTCCACACATGGTGCTGATGCCTAGTGAGTATTTAGGATATTGATAGCAAGTCCGTTGTTGCGGTGAATCACGAAATGTGAAAAATATGGTTCAAGACTTGGCAGAAAAAAAACATGTTTTTGTTTGAATAAAGAAATGCATTCAGAAAAGATGGTTTTCAAAGAAGGCCGTTTTTATTAAAATGTTGAATTTCCCAATCTAAATGCGTCTTTGCAAACTAAGCTGTAAAAAGGGAAACTATAGGTAAAAATAATATACATTCTTTTTTGTTGCAAACAGAAAACAAATTGTGACGTTTAAAATGCCATCTCATCTGTGACATAGTTCATTTAAAAATTGTCCTCAAGGCCACACTGAACTTGGTAGAAATAGTGCATCATGAAGTTTCACTGGATTGTCAACACTTGCTAGCTTATTATTTTAATGCATAAGAAAGAATGAAACCAGCTTCTCTCCACCACCACGCCTTTAAAATTCCAAGCTCACAATATCAGACAGTTTGATTACTCTTTGAAGTCTAACAATATGTGATAAGTAAGGATCTTTGCAGGTGTTTTCTACTGCTTTTAGTTTTTCTACTAATGCTTTTTGATACGGGTTTGCATCCACTGCATAAGATCTTTGTTCCACATCTTGGGGTCCCAGGCATGGAACCAGCCGGTGAAGGAGAGTGGCTCCTCCCCCTGCTTAATGGTGCTGATGGGGATCCCGAAACGACCAGAGGGGTCCGAATTCACATAGTCTTGGGCTGACAGGAAAACAACGATACATTTGTGAACAAAGTAAAGTCAGTTTTATTTATACAGCCCAATATTCCGTACTCCCCAAATAAAACCCCTTTAACAGGGAAGAAAATGGAAGAACAGACATGCATGAGAACAGAAATTCAAAGTATATACAATTATAACGACAAAATGTAGATATAGCTCTGTTTGTCTTACCAATCTTGACTGATCCAGTTTTCTCCACCTCATTGGCATCCTTTCCGACCCAAACAAAGATCTGGTGGGGAAATGACCAAGGGGATTTAGGGACAAGGCAGCAATAAAAATGAGACCTATAGGAACCGAGACTGAATCGTTTAATTAAAAGTGAAGGTGGCACACCTGATCCCAGGTGTCCAGAATCATGACATCATCGGTTGCCAGATCCATCTGTGTGAACTCACCGGGCACCCTCCGCCTAAATATTGGGCAGTACACGTTTACAAAGCAGCTATATTAAAAAGTAAAATAATTAGGTAAAAGCACATATATTGTATCTGATTCTGATTATTGTATGTACCAAAATAACTACGCCCTCTTAATGAATGAAAATAGACAAAAACTTAAACACTTACTGTCAGCCTGCCAGTCTTGTTTGAACAGCTAAACAGTCGTGGAGGCCTCACCATCCTCTGCAGGGTTTTGGAGGTCTGGTAGTCCTTCTTCCCACCCAGCAACTGCCAGAAACCAGCTGGCGACAAAGAATAGAATACCACAGTTTTCCACAGGAAATCTTTACTGCAGAGATCAAAGCTCTTTTATCAACACTCACCTGGCTCTTTGGCCTCCTCCACCACAGTGCCAGTTCCTCCAAGCAGGCCAGCAACATACTCAGCTGCAGCCATCTCCTCCGGAGTTGCTCCCTTTCCCTCCACAGGAACAGGGACTCAGGTGACTTCAGCACAAACACATCATTTGTGTTCAGAGAAGAGGCAGTGGGCTCCACCTGGGTCACAGACACAAAGAGAGGGGGAGAATTTTGTGAA